CATTCCCCGAGCTGCATGAGCTGTCCGGTGTGAAGGGGCTTCGACTTTTGCATAACAGAGGTCTCCCAACATTTACTGCTGAATAGAACTCCATTGTGTAAATATACCACATTTTTGTTAACCACTCCTCAGTTGAAGGACACTTGGGTTGCTTCCATCTCTTAGCCGTTGTGAAAAGAGCAGCAAAAAACATGGTTGTATAAGTGTCTCTACAATAAGATTAGTCCTTTGGGTATATGCCAAGGAGTGGTATAACCGGGTCACATGATAGGTTCATTTTTAGTTTTTTAAGAGTTCTCCACATTGTTTTCCTTAGAGGTTGCACGAGTTTGCAATCCCACCAGCAGTGAATGAGCGTTCCCAAATGGCACCCTCCCATAGCCTCCCCACTCCCACACACTGGAGCCCATATACTCTGTCATCCTTGTTACCATCCACTGTGTTGTCAACACCCCCAACCATTCCCCAGTGCTCGTCTGTCTGCTGAATCTAGTCATCCTATCTAGAGATCCTTGTTTTAGGAAGATCAGCTGTTCTTCATCTAGCAGCAATCACTTCTCAATATTCTTTCTTAGATAAGTTTGAGGTCTGCTGTTCATTTTCCCAGTTCTATGCTGGGTTACTGCTGGGAGTCTTTTTGGCCACCTAGCCAATAACTCGAAGGAAGGTATCTCCTGTCTGGCATTGTTTCTTGTTATGTAGCCTTTAGCTATACATAGGACTCTTAAAAATTGTATTGACCCCATTAAACTTTGGTTATACTTTCCTTTTGGGTGTTTAAGACCCTTGGCCCAGATGAACCAATTTATTTTTACTCTTAAGCTCATTTGAGGATCCATTCCTCAGGGGTAACATAGGCTTGGGAGAAGCCCCTGGCTCCTTTCTTTTACCAGTTCTTCTATGTGAAGATAAGTCAAAGGTCCTGCTCAACAATGGCTGGCTTCTCTTGGAGGCACACAGGAAATGTTTCCTCTGTGTTGACCCTCCTCTTTGTATACTGGACACTGGTTCAGGTCCATCTGGTGGGGTCTCCACGGCCTCCTTGCTCAAGAGGACAGATGACTTACCACATTTACAGGACATTTTGAGAGATGCTTGTAGTCCCCTGGAACTTAGTTGACCTAGGAGGGCAAGGAGCAAAAACTATCCTTTGTGTCTCCCTGACCAATTTAGTATGGGCCTCAAAGTATGGCTGTTAAACATCCAATAAGGTTAGTTCCACCACTCTGGTACTTTTAGTTACCATACACCATGTAGGTAGAGCTTGGGCAAAGACCAAACACTCTCAGATAAACCTTTCCTAGACATATATATCACATTCTTTGATCTGGTTGTATGTATAATTTGTCAGTAGGTTGTTGGCCTAATATGGTTCTTTCTGGTTTCTAAAACTATCTCTCACATTGTCAAACCCTTTCACCATGGTTTCCCCATTTAAGGAGCATATAAGTTTTTAAAATATTCCCTTATAATGGTCTGGATCTTTTGGGTGTCTGCTGTGATGTTTTCCCTTTCATCTCTGATTTTGTTCATTTGGATTTGTTTTTTCTTTCTTTTGGTTAACTGGGCTAAGGGTCTGTCTGTCTTGTTTAGTGTTTGCTTCCCTTTTCAACAAAGAGATCCATCATGCCTCAAGGAAGTTGATACCTATGGGGGCTGCCACTATTTCAATCCCTGTAGGTTAAAACAAGGATTCACTGGGAGACATCGAGACATAACAGGACAGAGAAGACCCATCTACCTAAAAGATAACAAGTATTCGCTAATATATATTGCAGATCCATGGGACGATCGCTGGCGTATTGAAGTAATAGGAAAGTTCTACTCAGGTGCATTCACTAGGTACCCTACAGCTGACTTTCATATCTCTCGACAGCTTGTACCTGCAGCTAAGTCTGTGCTAACTCATCATAATATTATTCTACAGGAAAGACAAACAGAGGACCAGATAAAATCAACTATGTCCTGGAACAAGTCTAACTTTCTTCCCTTCACCACCTACCTCAATGTTTAACTTCTTTT